TGAAACATTATACATTTTCTTTACTGTCACTATTAATCAGTTTATTCTATCCTTGCCAAAAAAAAAAAAAAGTATTAATTTCTTCCAAAATATATCTTACTGACTCCAAGCTGTCGAATGTTAGTGTATATGCATTATTATTAATGCATTTTGGGTTTTTTTACATTTACATTTATTTATTTATTTAACTTTTAACTTTATTTTGACAGAATTTAATTTAAAAACACAACCGCTTTCTCACTAGTGCTGCAAAAAGAAACGAAAAAGTAACTAGATGCGTGTTCAATATAAAATGTCAAGATGTGACACGACTAGTTATTTTTATAAGGAATTGTGCAATGTTTTAACACCTTACTGTAAAAATAACGTCTCCCAACACTGTAGATACAGAGCAAAAACCGCCGCTTCGTCTGAACGTGTGAGGATCACATCCTCTGATTCAGAGCCTCCTACCTGACCCTGTGACATCAGATCCTGCGTGGGGCGTGCTGGCGCTGTAGGTGGTATGCTATCATCGGTCGTCTCAGAAGAGGGTTTACGCTCAGCAGTAGGTGTCTGGTGAGTTTTCGCAGCATACTTTGTTCCCCAGATACATAGCACATCATTAGGGCCCCCATTAATGTTGGGACATAGAGTTAACAGCTAAGCAAGAACAGGGCCCTCAGTGTCAAACGCCCTGCTCCATGTGAGCCACCTGCGCCGCACACGGTCACCCAACACATTTTAATTGAGCCGCAGAAATAGATCTGACCCCACTGGGAACCATTTTGTTTCTTATAAACCACCTGACATAAGCCTATGGTATTAACACCAACACATACTGTATGCTGCAAAAGGCTGACATGTTTGAAGACCTGAAGGAAGCAGATCTAAAGCCTTGGGGAGCGCTAAGAGTGTGAGTATATTTTTTTGGCATTCGATTTGGGGTCCCATTGGTGGCATCTGGTTAACAGTTTGTACATTTGAGGTGACAACTTTATCAAAACATCTGTCTGCATTTAGCACTCCATTACACTTGCATAATAGCTTGAGTTGTATTTACTAATCAAACGAGAGAGCATAAAAACGTATCTCTAATTTATGAGACCTTCAGTATTTCACATTACACCACAAGCTAGCTACTCACTATACAAAGTGTCATGTTAACCTCTGGAAAAAAGCATGAGAAATGTCTGAATGGTTTATGGAGAGTCTCAAGGCACTGAGCAAAATGCTTTATAAGACTGGATTTGACAAAGTATTGAATACCCTTCGCTCAGCAGCGTAGTATCATAATTGAACCCAAGGGCAAAAGCACCCCAAATTGCAGCCACTTAGCCACGCTATACTGTACCAAACATTTAATAATTAAAGAATCATTCCTACCGAGGGATAAAACAACAGCCTGAGAGATACAGGCAATGCCATCTGCAATTAGGCAGAGCTTAGCAGGCTGGTGTCAGAAGAGGTGTCACAGCTGTCCAAACTGTGAGTTTAACCAGCGTATCATGAGTGCTATTAAGCACCAGCTGACCCCCTGATGGCCTTCAGGGCTCAGACTGCCCACTGAGTCTTGTCTTTTTGGAAATGGTGCCCTGGTAAGCTCCTTCATTAGACGTCTCAGCCACCCACTGCGGCTACAATGATTTACCATGCACAAAGGGTGTTCTGAAGTACGGCTTGAAGAGCCGAGACCCGCAGGGACATAGCTAGTAGTAACCTATCCTTTCTGTAAGTTGTTTGTGGTTGCCAAGCAATGTATTAGCTTTAATATAAAGCTCACAGGTTTGTTTTGCATTTTGTTCATTTTACAGCATCTTTGAAAATAGATCAAATCAGAAAAAGTCACTGTAACTATTTTTAAATGTATCTTTATAAAAGGTTAAATGGCCCCATGCCAATACTGCAAGCTATTCTAATGTTAAGCTATAGCTGTTTGTGAAGGGTATGCCACTTTTCACACACACACACACACACACACACAATACAAATGAAACAAATAAAACAAATTGAAAAAAATGTTGAATTATTATTATTAGTAGTAGTAGTAGTAAAACAGTAGTATAAATTGCTACCCAAAAAAAGTTATTTGGACTAAATAGCAGAGGCCATGTGTAAATATAAAATTAAATAATGATTCAGCCCTCAGGGGAATCAAGATAACATAATGAAACAATGTTGGCTGTGATCATGATGTGCATTTGCCTTGAGAGATTCCAGAACAGATTAAAGGCTTTCAGCAAAATTCTTAAAAGATTAAGGGACCTGTTAATGCAACTATTGTAAGCCTGCTGGCATATATACGTACAACCTAAGATCAGCCATGAGTGGAGCCTGTCCAAATACCAAATACTGCAGCGCTGTTAAATGTATTGTGCTAATTCTGAGTACTGGGACAAAACAAACTACAAAACCGGAAAGAGAAAAAATCTACTTATAATCAACTAACTAAATAAACAAATGCTGGATTAATCTGTTCAGAAGTTTTCACCTATGTTTGGGTGTAATCTCCCACTGTTTGAGCTTTTCACAAAATGCATGTTTTTCCTTGCCTATCACTCAATATGTGTCACACAATCAGATACAAAAATAATGTGTCAAATATTTATCATACACTTCAGTGAGTTAATGAACTGAGACTACAGGATGGTTTCAAATGATTTTCAGCTCGATCTATTGAACTGGTACCACAGTCAGACAGAATATCTTCAGGTGTTAAGCAAAATTTTGTACTTGACAAGTTTTTTTTTTTCTTGTTGCATATGCGTGACAGAATTGACACATCAAAGTTTTGACAGAAAATAAGCAGAAGCACATAAATAAATAAATAAATAAAGATGTAATTAATATCACACACAT